AAAATATTCTCTATGGAAACAGGTATTACCGGTATTTCAACATCACTATACAACTTCCTGTCATGACAGCAGAGGTGTTCCCTCTGAGAATCCTGGCTCTGCGAAGACATTCCTTTGTTCTTTTAAGAGTTTAAGAGTTGGATGCACAAGGTTACATTTATTTAGGATTATTTCTAATCTGCACAGGGTCAAAGTGTGAGGGTTCCCCAGTCCTCCCTGTGTGCTGTCAGCGCCTCTCTCCCTCGCTCTGTCATTCTTTGTTTGTTTTGGTGTCTACTTCATAGGCAGGGCTAATTCCAGCTCCCTACAAATCACTCCCTTGAGTGATCGCTACCACTTCTTGGCAGTCACTCTTCACTGGATCGTCGACCTACCTCGTTAGTTAAGCCCCAGCCCCTCGGGTGTTTACTGCTTACCATGTTTCCCTGTGTGATGGTGTTCTCCGGTGTTCCATCCTAGGTGTTTGGTGAAAGTGTGTCCACAGGTTTATATCGTGATGTGGATGTGTGGACCTCTCCGTTTGTTTCCTAATCAGGCCCCCTCCTGTTAGGTGTACATTCCCCTAAGTCTTGTGTTTGGTGTTAGGAAATTTAAATAAACCTGTTGAACTTTTGGAAAAGTCCCGCTTCCGAATCTTGCTAGCTTGCATTGGATGTGGCAGAACAACCCGGCCACACATCAAGGACTCAGGCTCTGACCCTGTACGCCTCTCCACCCAGGAGGCGCAGCTCAGCAGGCATGAACAATTATTCTGCCTCTTCTCTGGCAAACAGGACTCCATGGTTCTAAAAAATTGCAGATATGCTCAAGCAATCTCTAACTCCATCTAATGCCAACATTTCACCTCAACAGCTACCAGCAGAACCCTGACCATCCTGGACTGAGAGAGGACTGTGCCAACTCCTGATGAGTTAGAGAAAAGTACAGGTTTTGTCACTCAGTGCTCACTAGTTTTCAACAACAACCCTGGACGTATAAAACAGATGGTTCCAAAATAGCCATTTTGTTCAGTTGCTCCAGGGCCAGACGCTAAAGTGGGTCAATGCTTTTTTGAGATCAAACTTTGAGGTCAATGAACAGGTTCGATGGTGCTGCTCAGTCGTCAATGTTCGATGACTGAGCAGGTGAAAAACAGTCTTTAAAATCTGGAGAGCTGGAAATAATAGGCTCAGAAATGATAACAGTCTGGGATTGAGACTCCACAGAAACCTTAACAGTCTCTGTGCACAAAGTCTCATGAGTCTTTGGGGGCAGCTTACTAAACTCAGCAGTCCAGCAAACTCAGGAGGTGCCAAAACATAATATTCTCTCCCGGAGTTAGCTGACTGGACAGCATGAGCAACAGTCTCAGCATTTGAACAGGAAAAGTGCTCTCGTGATTCACCATTGTGTGCTGCTCTGTAATCTTGGGAACGGGCTGTGAAGAGGAGTGGCGGCGGCGAGGGTGCTGTTTGCTCCTGGATGAAGGAATTGGAAATGGTGGAGAAATGGAGACCTGCTTCAGCAAATTGCTGAATCTGGGGGTTGATTTTCACTATTGCTTCCAACGCTCTCAGTCCCTCAGACATAACCCGCAAGCTATCAGACTGGGGGATGCCATCCAGCTTTTTAACCAACCTCTCCATCTCAGCCTCAAACTCCAAAGCGGAGCAGTCTGCGGGGTCCATCTTCTGGTCGTGACCTTCTGTTATGTGTTATGTGCAGGCAGGAACCAAAGTGCAGACACTCGGAGGCAAAACGTGAACTCAAAAGATCTTTATTGCTGAACATAAAATAACTAAGTGAAAATATCAATAAACTAAACAGGCAGGCTGGCAAACGGAACACACAGTGTGGGATGAGAGCAAACATGAGGGTAGATCACAGCACAGACAAAGGAAAACACAGGGCTTAAATACACAGAGGGAGC